TTTTAGTTGTAGTTGGATACAATACCTTTATTTTATTTATTTATTTTTTATGTGGTGCAGAGGATCAAACCCAGGGCCCCCACATGTGCGAGGCAAGTGCTCTACTGCTGAGCCACAACCCCAGCCCAGATTCTTCATTTTAAACAAAATAGTTGGTTTGTTTATTTATTTATATTGATTCTTTTTAGCTATACATAACATTAGGATTCACTTTGACATAATTCATTTTGACATAATTATAGGCACAGAATATAATTTGTTCTAATTCAGTCCCCAGTACTTCTCCTTTCCCACCCCTCTTCTCTCCCCTATTTCCTTCCCCCTACTGAGCTTTTGCTATTTACTTTTAGTTTGTGGGTTTTTTGTTTGTTTGTTTTGTAGCTGATGTCTTATAGGTATACATGATGGTGAAATTCACAGTGGTTTATTCATATATGTACATAGAAAACTTAGGTCAGATTCATTTTTCTGTTTTTGCCTTTTCCTATCCCCTCCTCTCCTTCCCCTTCAGTCCCCTTCATCTAATCCACTGATCTTCTTCTATCTTGATGAAACATCCCCCTTCCCCTTTCTCTCTGGTTATTTTTTTTTAAATTGGAGACCTTGTGTTTATTGTTAGTATGTAGAAATGCAATTGATTTTTTGTTTGTTTTGCATCCTAGAGCCTTGATGAACTCACTTATAATTTCTAGGATAAATATTTGTTTTGTAAATTGCTTGAAATCTTCTACATATACCATCATGTCAAGTGTAAAGGTAGACAGTTTTCTTTCTTGCTCTACGATCAGTTTGCACTCTATTTTCTTTTCTTGCCTTATTTCATTGACTACAAACTCCAGCCCTCTCTTCCCAATTTAGTGGGGAAGTATTCAGTATCTCACTACTGCATGTAATGTTGGCGGTAGTGTTGTTTTTTGTTTTTGTTTTTTGATAGATGCTCCTTTTCCAGTTGAGGAAATTCCCCTCTATTACTGTTTTACTGAGTGCTTTTTATATGATTGGGTAATGGATTTTTGCCAAATGTTTTTCTGCATTAAACAATATGTTAATCAGCTTTTAGTCACCGTGACAAAATATCTGAGAAAAACAACTTACAGGAGGAATGTTTCATTTTAGCTCATGGTTTCAAAGATTTCAGTTCATGATCAGCTGGTTCCAAGACAGAAATATCATGGTATAAGTTTATGGTGACAGAAAGCCCGTCTCTTCCTGCTTTTAGAGAAAAAGGGGCCAAGGACAAGATATAGTCCCTAAGAGCACACTTTCAAAAACTCAGTCCTTTCACCTAGGCCCCACCTTCTATAGTTTCCACCACTTTCCAATAGTCCACTCAAATTATTAATCAATCAAATGGATTAATCCATCAATGAGGCTTCATGATCCAATCATTTCCTAAAAGCCCCAACTCTGAATATTGTTGAACTGGGCATGAGACTTATGAGTCTTTGGGGGACACTTTATATACAAACTATAACATTCAATATAATCATAGGATTTTCCTCCTTAACCTATTAATACAGTTGATTACCTCAGTTGATTTTTTTAATACCTTTGTTTAATTTATTTTTTATGTGGTGCTAAGGATTGAACCCAGGACCCTGCACATGCTAGGTGAGCACTCTACTGCTGAGCCACAACCACAGCCCTCAACTGATTTTTTGAATGTTGAACCAGACTGGAATAAGAGCTACTTGATCATGTTGTGTAATTCTTGTTATATAATAATGAATTACACTTACCATACTGTCACCAGCTGGCTGGGCTTTCGAGATGAGCTGGGTTCAAAGGAGCTGGCTGTATCAATAACTAAGAAAATGGCAAAGAAACCACGCAGCACATGAACATGAATTTGCAAGAATGAGGGCAGGACGGCTCGGTGACCTCAAGGGTCAACTCCACACTGGGCAACGCTGGAAAGAGCAAGAGAGCGAGCACATTGGACACCCTCCTATTTATTGGGGAGAAGACATTCAGTAGAATATTTCACCCAAATAAGGTAAGGGGTAGGGTTTTGAAGGGTGGAGTCTTGCTTGGTGATGTCTTGTGGTCAGCAGATTGATTGACAAGTCACACCCATCTCTAGCGCTGTGAGGGATCACAGGCAGAGGGAGAGGAAAGGCATATTTGCATTGCACAACCCAATCAGTGCCCAACGCCAGACCAGTCCCCTCATATACTCAAATGCTCATAGCTCACACACAGAGCCCAGGGATGGCTCGTGACACCATACTGTTTAGGATTTTTGCATCTGTATTTATGAGGAATGTTGGTATATAATTTACTTCTTTGTAATTTTTTTCCTGATTTTTGTATCAGGGTCATACCAGTTTCATTAAATGAATTGGGAAATATCACCTGTTCTATTTCCTGGAAAATATTGGGTAAATTGTTTTTCATTCTTTAAAAATTTGGTAAAGGGGCGGGGGTTGTGGCTCAGTGGCAGAGCGCTTGCCTCGCACATGTGAGGCACTGGATTCGATCCTCAGCACCACATAAAAATGAATAAACAAAATAAAGATATTGCATCCATCTATAACCAAAAAATATTTTTAAAAATTTTGGTAAAATTTTCTAGTAAAACCTGGAGGGTTTTTTTTTTTGAGGGGAGTTTTTAAATTATAAATTTATTTAGGTCACAGTTATGGAACTATTCAATTATCTATTTCATATTGGATAAATTCTGGTAATTTGTGTTTTTTGAGATATTTGTCCATTTGATATATGTTAACAAATCTAAATGAGGAGAGTTGATTTTTATAGGGTTAGCATAGACAGGCACTGTTTCATTCCTGATATTGGTAGCATATGTTCCCCCACTTTTTTTCCTTAGTCATGTCTGCTGTGAAATCTGCTGCTAGTTTAATGGGGTTTCCATCAAATGTGACTTTTCTCTTGCAGTTTTTAGAAGTCTAACTAATATGCTATGGTGAGAACCTTGCTGAATCAAATCTATTTGGGATCCTTTGGGCCTCCTAGACCTGGATGTCCATATCTTTCCCACGATCAGGAAAGTTTTTAGCTAGTGTTTCATGGAATAAGTTTTCTATGGCTCTTCCCCCTTCTTAACTTCTAGGACCCTTGCAATTCAATAATCTTTTTCATTTAGTTGTTCTATAACTCTTGGAGGTTTTCTTCACTATTTTTATTTTTATGTCTGTCTGTCTGAGACATTTCAAAAGGCCTGTTTTTAAATTCAGGAATTCCTCTTCTGCTTGATCTAGACTGTTGTTGAGACTCTCAACTGTAATTTTTTTTTACTTATTGAGTTCTTTAGTTACAAAATTTCTGTATGATTCTTTATCATGATCACTATTTGCTGAATTTCTTATTCATATCATGAATTGTTTTCCTAAATTTGTTTATTTTCTCTTGCATCTCCTTGAGTTTCTTAGAATAATTCTTTTGAATTCTTTAGCAGGCATTTTGTCAATATCTTTTTCTTTGGTGTCTGTTGCTAAAGAGTTGTTGCTTCTTGTTACCTTGCTTTTTCTTATTTATTGTGTCCCTACATTAATATTTGTGCATCTGGTACATCAGTTGTTTCTACCAGTGTTATAAAGTGGCTATAAAATGACTTCCCTTAAAGTTGTGTCTAAGTGCATCAATTGGTAGGTTACATGGATGTTGATTGCATTCGGGTGCCATAGTGTATTCAACCTAAATGTTTTTCAGTTGTAATCAGTGGCTTTGGGCACTGGCAGCAGCAGTGGAGTGTTCAGTGCACAATCTCAAGCTCAAGCTTGGGCTGTGATAGTGGGCATGTGTGGTAAATGTGCCTGCGGGCCCAACAGTGGTACATGAGCTGACAGTAGCAGCAGGTAGTCAGGGATGGAGGTGGGGAACAGGTCTCAAGTCCCAGGGGCAAGTACCTGTGTTTATCAGGTCATGGGAGTGGCAGCCCTTACCAGGCACAGCCACCTTTCCTCTCTGGTGTAGCATACTGTGTGGGATGCTCTGGTCACAGTTGAGCTTCTGGGTCTAGTTGGGTTCCTGGGACTGCAGCCTTTTGTGCAGTGTGGGGGAATGTTGGTGAGATTCTAAGAATGTGAATATGCAGAGATTCATAAGGCAGTATGTGGTTCCATTCTGAAAAAGGTGACACACTGTAACAGCCTGGGCTCTGGAAGTTTGTGAAGAGATGATGTGGGTTCCTTCCCAGAAGCGAAGCCACCCTGCATAATTCAGGTAGCTTCCTTAAGTGGACCTCAAACCCCTGACGACAGCCACAGTTTCTGTGGTGATGGGGCTTGGATAAGATTCTTCATCTACCCTTTCCCTGGATGTGAGGAGTACACCTAGCCAGGGAGCTGGGGTTGTGGTTGCTAGTGTGCCTTGTTCTTCTCTCAGCTGTCATCCCAGGTCTTCATATCTTCTGAGTTTCCCTTGCTGAGTTCCAGTGCTCTCCCTCAGCCACTCATCTTGAAATGCAGCTATTTGCCAGTTTAGATTCTTATTTGTTGAGGAGGAGGTGGGTGCTGAGCATCACTCTTTAGCTATCATGGAATCCTTATTTATTTCTAACTCTTATTTCTGACAGTGAGAGTCATGGCTCCCAATTATTCAAAATTAATTTTCTGATTTGATCACTCTTCCCCTTTTGTGACCAAACTTCCATTGCTGCTGCTGTCCATCACCCACACGGATGCCTTTCTTATTCCCCCAGGGTCCAACACTGTACCAGGCAGCCCCTACACAGCTACACTCCTCACAGCTGATGGTTCTTAGTTCCTTTATTGCTCTGTAGATCTGTTTAGATGCTCCTTTCATCAACCTGAGCTGACAGAGAAATTCAGGAACCCCCTCTGTAAGGTTATCTTCCTCATAGTGCTAAAGTTCTGACTTTCTACAAACCAAGGATGCCCTCCTCATCCCACTGGATATGATATGCAATACTGATATGAACTTGGACCCTTGTGTGAACCCACCCTCCTTTTACCAGGTTTCCTTGATGGGCACTTCTCCTAGGCCAATGCCTTGCTCACATTCTTCCCCCCTCCCATTTACATATTTTATTTGGAAATGTTTACACAAGTACAGGGAAACTAAATTTTTGAGATAGTGGATGTTATTAGATTATCATCAGTTTATTATAAAAGACACATGGAAATTATTTACATGATGAAAGATTTCACCACTTCAGTGGAAAGGGCAGCTTCATAGGATGCCATTTCAACCGTGATTTGTTTCAGCCTATATACTTTCCAAGAATGTCACCATCTCTAAATAAGAAATAATCCCTGTCTTCTAGAACTGCTTTGGTGTCTCCATACTCTGGGGGAAGAACTTTATCTCCAACCTTCTTGCTAACTGGCTGAATCTCTCTACCCTTTCCTTTAGAGGCTGATCCCACAGTTACTACTGTTGCTTGCAATACTTTTCCTTGAGGTTTTTCTGGAGGCATAATGCCTCCTTTGGTTACTGTTTTGGCTGCATTCCTTTCGAACAATACTCGGTCAAAAAGTGGAAGAAACTTTCTAAATGCTTGTCTGGTCAGGACTCAAGTCACCGCAGCAGCTCAGACTCCACTTTGTTGCTCATCATTCTTGATGTCTCTACCGTGGTGAGTTCCCCCTACTCTCAGTGTACACCTATACTGTGCTGCCCAACCTAATAGCTTTTAGATTGATTGTTCAGGAAAGCGAAGAAAAAGGAAAGAAAAGAAGAAATACATTTTTTATTTTTAAAAAAGAGAGATACTATCTGTAGAAGAAAATACTCAGCCAAATCAGTAAAACATGCACTAACACTTTCACTCCAAACTCAAGAAAACTTATATGTAATCATCCAGTTGGCAAGAGACTACCTGTCTCCAGGAGATCTATGGCTGGTCTTGAGAGGCATGGCAGCTCTGGATGCCACATGATACCCTTATCCAAAAAGGCCCCAAAAGATCATCAACTGACATCCCATTCCTCACAGCCCACTCCCCAGAAATGGAAGATCCAGAGGTTCCAGTGTTGTTTAAACATGCACTCCTGAGAAAGAAAGTATAGAGAATGGAGGGAAGAAATACTCAAAGCATCAATGAGAGAATTTCCCACCATCAATGAAACAGTCTGAATGAGATTCTTCAGAATCATAGTTTAAGGACGCTTGACCGACCACACCAAGATGACTGAAAACAGTTGAACTCAACATGTTCTGGCAAAAATCTCAACTGCTAAAGATGAAATAATGAAATATTTAAAGAGGAAATAAAAGCAACAGTTTCCCATCCAGGAATAAGTCAGATTGACACCCATGTTCTCAGTAGCAACAAGAGTTGCAAAGAGAGAGAGGAGAAACACCTTAACTTTCCAAAGAAATATGATTTTTAGCACATAATTATTAACACCCTCAAATGTTATCCAAGTAGAAGGGCAAATGAAGAACCATTTTTTATGGTTTAAATATGAAGTGTCCCCCAAAAGTTCATATACGAGACAATGTAAAAATAGTTTAGAGGTGAAATGATTGGGTTATGAGAGCCTTAACCTAATCAGTGGATTAATTCCCTGATAGGGATTAACTGGGTGGTAGTTGTAGGTAGGTAGGGTGTGGTTGGAGGAGGTGGGTCCTGGAGGCATGCCCTTGGGGCATACATTTTGTTCTTGTTGAGGGCAGCTCTCTGTGCTTTCTGGTGCCATTTCCTGAGCTGCCTTCCTCCACCACACTCTTCTGCCAAGATGTCCTACCTCACTTCATGCCCCAAGGAATGGAGCCAACCATCTATGGACTGAGAACTCTGAAACTCTGAACCCCTAAATGAACTTCTCCTCCTCTAATTGTGTAAAGAAAAACAAAAAGAGAGAGAAGCAAGCAAGGTGCAGGGGCAAAGTAAAAGGGGCTGCTGGCTGAGCTGTCAGCTTTATTTATATCCATAGGTTACATTAGGTCATTGACATCATTAGGAAATATTGCTCATTGTATAAAGTTACTGTTATAGAAGCAGGTTTAGGTGCAGTGACACATTGATGTTGACTAAGAGAGTTCCTTTATTCTCAGAAGCTGAGTTTCTGAGATCAAGATTGAGGCTGATAAGACTCTAGTACAGAGCCTCCTCATGAAGGACACTACCATAACAGCTAGGCATTGAGCATGTATTAGTCATCTGATTAGTTCCAGGGAGAAACTGCAGAATAGTCCAAGTGTGGAAAACAGGGCGCCTGTTAATCCTCCTGAGTTTGCTCATCAGAGGAACGCTCCCTGGTACATTTCCACAGCCAGAATCCTTATATAATCACTTGTCAAGCCTTTTGGTCACAGTGACAAAAAAACTGACTAGAACACATTTCTTATCTGTAAAAACCTGAAAAGTTTTCTAATAGTTCCCGGAAATATATACTGGCTCAGTAAATAACGGTGAAAACCTCAGAAGGAAATGACACAAAAGGAAGACATGATTTAGTCCATTCATGCTGCTATAAGAAAATACTCCAAGCTGGGTCATTTATAAAGAATATTTCTTTTTTTAAAAAAAATATTCTTTTTAGTTGTTGATGGACCTTTATTTTATTCATTTATTTATATGTGGTGCAAAGAATCAAACTCAGTACCTCACACATGTGAGGCAAGTGCTCCCACCCCTGAGCCAAAACCTCAGCGCCCCCCCCCCCAACCTAACTCTTAATATTGCAATGGGAATCAAATTCGAGAATTTCATAGCACATACTGAGCAGAGAGGTCATAAAAATGTATTCTTTAGTCTAAGCAAGATTTTACTGTAAATTCATAAATTTACAGAATTTAACAGGAAGTCATAATACAAAATTTACAGCAAATTTATGTAAATTTACTGTAAATTTACATAAATTTACTGTAATAAAGATGTTAACAATATGTGAGACTGTTATAGGAGTGAGTGGAGGAAAAGGAAGTGGAGTAAGGTTCTTACCTGATTCAGGATGAGATGAGAGACAATGATTTGCTCCAGAATTTAACAGGAAATCATAATACAAAATATCAACATTGAAGTATATTGTAAAAATAAAATCAAATACATAATTTTAATATCAGAAATTATATTTTGGTTATTATGATAGATACCAACACAATGGTGGCTCAAAAAAAATGAGAAAATTAATTTTATCCTTGATATGATCTTAGTGTCCAAACTTTCCCATGCTTGTGATTGGACTGTTGTTCTCACAGTCTCAAAATGGCTACCAGAGTGCCTCCTATCTTGGGTACATTTCAGGAAATAAGAAGGTTAAGGGCAAGAAGGTCATCCTGGCCCCAGGAAGCCGAGTTTTCCCAAAAGATGGCTCAGTGTCTTCTGTTGACATCTCATTGAGCAGTGAGAGTCCCTTGACATCCCTAGTGGCAAAATGGACTAATGAAGGTCATCTATTATTTTTTCTCCTGCTGCCTAATCTTGGCATATGCTACTCCAAATAACTATAGTTCCATTGATGAGAAAAATGGTTTTAGTAGTTGTTTATTACGATAGAGATTTTCTTGGCTGCAAGCAGACACACCTGTGCTTTGTTAACAAAGGGAAAAGGGAGTTGACAATAAAGCAATGGGTTAAAGATCCAGCACGGAGACACTCCTACTTATGATAATGACATGACGAAGATTGGGATGAATCCTTTTGCTAAAGATAATGGGAAAAGCTGGTCAACATGTTTAAAGTTTTTTTCTATTTGAAGGTATCGAAAAGAAACAGTATATTAAAAAATCACTGGGCCATGATCCAAAGGAAGAAAGAAATCCTGAACTGCAAGCCTGGCATTTGGGGTTGCATCATCCAACAGATGCTTCCAGCATCTTCCCTGTCCTAGGTGTGCCTCCCAACACTTCCCCTGTCCTCCACCTTAACGACCATCATCCCACTGCTACACACTGACACTCCGAGCCTGAAGGCCTCTGCCATTCCCCACACTCCCCCTACAGCCCCACACCAGCCTTGCACATTCTCACCTGCACATTCCACATGTGCTTCTCAGTGACCCTTGGGGCAGTTGCTCTGAGGAGACCAGGGCTTTAGGTTATCCCCTAGGCCCTTGTGCTCAGAATGACCTTGCTGCACCAGGTGGGGCTTCAGGGGCCAGCAGTAGGCAGAGATGAAGCCCTACTTCTATACTGGCCTCCATGACTCACTGAAATCCTGAGTGTGACCTTGGGGCCATCAAGGGCAAAGAAAGGAGCAGAACAAAGATATTTGAGACTGGGATGAGGCCTTGGGGTTTTCTGGCCTGCATGTATCCTGATCTCCCAGGAGGCTGAAAAAATGATCACTCTGAAGCTAGGCCAGACATAAGGTATTTAGCCACAGTGAGGGAGTGGAGCCTGACCCCCATCCCCAATTCCACTGTCCTCATCAAAGATAATCCGAGCTCAATTTTTATTCTGTGTTTCTTCCTAATCCTCACGCTCCCCTTTTTAAAAGTTTATAAATTCTAAACTTTTATAACTTTATTGGCTTTATAACACATGAACACAAACAGAGAGAGGGATCATACTGTTCTTTAATTCGATTTGTTTCGCTTGTTGTTCGCATGTTGTTGGATAACTTGAATCTATGTTCCCAGGTCATGGTCATTCATATTTGGTTCAGAATAAACCATTTTCTTTTCTTTTCTTTTCTTTTTTTTTTGGTACCAGGGATTGAACTCAGGGGTTCCTGAGCCACATCCCTAGCCCTACTTTGTATTTTATTTATAGACAGGGTCTCACTGAGTTGCTTAGCGCCTTGCTGTTGCTGAGGCTGGCTTTGAACTTGCCATTCTCCTGTCTCAGCCTCCTGAGCCTCTGGGATTACAGGTGTGGGCCACCACTTGGAGCTTCAGAATAAACTATTTTCTAATTTCCTCAAAGCAAAGTTGTTATTTTATGTCAAATGAGACACCTGGTTTCATTTTTTATCTGTGAGTACTTGGGAATGGAACTGTAGAGTTTAGGGAATACATATTTAACTTTTTTAGAAGCTACCAAACCATTTTGCACATTGGTTCTGCTGTTCCATACCTTCTACCAGCAGGATGGAAGAATTGCTGCTGCTCTGGGTCCCCACCAAGATCATTGCTGTCTGTGTTTCTTATTTTACCTATTCTCTAGGATGTCTAGGGGAACCTCATTTGATTTCACTTTCAGTTATCTCATAACTAACAATGGTGGGCATCTTTTCATGTGCTTCTGAGCCATTTGTGAATCTCCTCTTGTAAAGCACCCATTAACTATTTTGTCACAAACTCTTTTGCTTCATTTTTTTTGTTTCCATTATATGACTTAAATGAAATCCATGTTTTGAATTCCTTATTGATGTATATTTAAATTGTCTCAATTTTTTCCAACCAGACCACAATGATAACTTTGTACACATTTATGTCAATGAACCAAAATTTCCATGCCATGCCTTTGCAACCAAATTTTAGGTGTCTCTGCAGGAAAGAATAGACACTTTCACTAAAAAGGGCCCAACTATTGGAAGCCCCTGGTACATGCATCATAGGTGCTCTTATGACATCAATGCTCTCTCCCCTCCTCCACTGTGGCAGAAGGAATGCAGACCTGAGTGTGATGAAACCATCTAGCCCCTAACCATGGGCAATTTAGAGGATCACAGACCTGAGGGAATTTGAATTATCTATCTCCAAATCATGGGCAATAAACTTTGTGTAAGATATAACCAGTTCACCCAAGTTGCAGGGAGGGGAAGGTGGATTTCCACAGTTAATCAGGATACTAGCCTTATGTCTAGGGATACTGGGATAATGAGGAAATTGAATATGTGTTAGAATCAACACCCTATTGTACGCAAAGAACAGCCTGCCCACACCTCTCCCTTTTAACTGTTTACAGAAGGATGGCAACCCTTGTGAAATCGTAATTGTAAATGTTGAGCAGATCTCACCACAGAAAAAGGAAGAGGCAGAGGCAGAGGAAATAACACCAGAGGTAGGTGGTATAGACTTCAATACTGAGGTGACTTCTGACCTTCCACATCTCTAACCCATGTCACCCAGAAGTGGTGTTTATCGTTTTGAAGCTCATTGCAGAAGGTGATCATGGAATTTATCCACCCAGGATATATTTGGGAGTGGAAGGTGGTACTCTTATGTATTATTCAGAACAAACATTAGAAACCCCAAATGTCCGGGTCAACACAAAGAGTTGCCCCATTATCCAAAGCTGGAATGAATAGGAATTGAGTCTTCTTCTCCAGTTGTTAGCAACCTGAGAAAGGCCAATGACTGAGGCAAGCTGACTTGGTTGTGGGGGGAGGAGAAACCCCAAAGAGTGTGAGAACCCGACCATGCAAACTTGAAAAGTGGGGCTCTGAGGGCTGTGTTTGGGGAATGCAAGGCCAGAGGGAATCCCCACACAACCTGGAGTTGTGTGGGAGTGTGTGCATGAGCACATGTGTGCGTGTGTGTGTGTGTGTCTGTGTCTGTGTTAACTGAAGACCTATGTGTGGTAACCAAGAGAAATGAAAGTGAGAAATAAATGAGAGAGACCCCAAACTGTGTAGTGCAAGGAAACTTTTAATATGAGGAACTAGCAGAAAGAGGAACAGGTTGTGGATTGAGGTGAAACCAGGGAAGAGAGGGAAGGGCAAGAAAAGAATGCCACTTCCCCAGCAGGTCAGAGGGTATGAAGGGGAGGTGACAGGCCCAGGTAGATGGTCAGGCTCAAGTGGATCCTGTGGATCATAAGGTTCTTGCTCCAGGACCAAGGCAAACCAGGTGATGTAACAAAGGGCAGGGGAACCCCCATACTATAGATGGCTACTTTGAGCCTCAGAGGTCAAGATGAATGTATATGTGCATTAACTGACATGGTAGAGAGAGGCAGGCAGAGGAGGACACTTGCTTGAATTTCTATGCCCAGGTATTGCTCTGTCCAGTGCTCATTAATTTCAGAGGAAGAGGAGATTGTTGATTGACAGAGGATCAGAAGCCCTTCCTGGCACATTCTTGGCTTGAGGTTGTTGGGGAACATGTCCTAAGTGTCATTTCTTTACTTTGTATCTCCCACTCCCTCACAAAATGAAGGAACCTTCTGACTCTACACTAGCAGCCACAAAGATCCAGGCTTGGTGGCGGGGCACCCTGGTACGACGCATGTTGCTACATGCTGCCCTGAGAGTTTGGATCATTCAGTGCTGGTGGAGGAAGATACTGGCCAAGCTGTTGGAGAGGAGACGGCGGACGATGCTGGAGTTGAATACATGGCAAATCTGGGCCTGTGTCAAGCTGCAGGCCTGTGTTCGAATGTGGCTCATCAGACTGCGATACTGTCGTGTGCTCAATGCTGTCCGGGTCATCCAGATATGCTGGCGCTGGCATAGTTGCCACACCCTTGGCTTTTTCCGGGGAAATTACGAGATCACAGAAAATGAGCTAAAACTTCAGATTGACATTTTTCTGGGATCACAGATTTGTCGGATCACCGATTCCATCCCCTTCCCAATAAAGAACTGACCAGGTCTGCTCCAAATATGTGTCAGTAGATCTTTGTTAGACAAGCTCCTGGAGGTCTGCATCTCAGCAAAGAGCCAGGAAAATGATGGAAGGTACAAAGCATCTTACATGATTACTTGGGGGAATCAGCAGGGTGTGTCTGGGGTGCTGGAGTCATAAGGGGGTGAGAGCCCATGCTGGAGGAGAAGAATCTGAGATCCATCAGCAAGGTCTGCCATAGGTGGGAGGGTTGGGGTTGCAGGGTGGCCAAGGAGATCAGCTCCAGGGAGACTCCTTCACTGTGGTCTATGCAAATGACACCCTTATAGTTGTACAATGTGGGGGCCTCCACCATCCTTTGCCCTTCATTCTCCAATACCTTCCCACTCAGTTTAGAATAAGTTTCAAAAGCCCTCCCTGTGGTCCATGTGACCTGGCATGTTCTGGTTCTAACCATTGCACCCTCTGCCGACATCCTCCTCCAATGCTCTGCTATCCATCAAACACCCCAAGCAGAAGATCCCAAGTGTGTCCCATCTCAGAACTTTGCACTTGCCACCTGCAACCCTACGGTGTCCCCAAAGAAGTTTCCAAAGAGTCACACCCAGGTTCACCTCTTGACTTTTGACTGACTGTAGGGTGACATCAGACTGTCAGGTCAACTCTAAGTCAAACTTGACCCATGCTGACTGGTTCTAATTGGATTCTTAACCACACATTCGCATAGATTTTATGGTTAGGAGGAACTATCCGTATCTCCCAGAGTTTCAGGATCTGGTAACAAAAGTCTCCTTCAGGGTAACTTGGGTTCATCTTATCAACATTTTTGGGGCCTGCATTTCTCCTGCAGTGAACAACAGGTAGTTTGCTGAGGAATGTCACATATCATGTCCACTGAGGCCAGGCAGGGCTGCAAGTAAATTGCTTCTGGAAAAAAGAAAGCATGTGGGCCCATTTTATAGGATTATTTTTTTAGAAGAGTGGGCCTATTTTATAGAATTATTCTCTTAACTTTATATTCATACCTTCCTCATCTGTCTGTTCCCTAACAGGGCCAGGACCAGGCAGAGGGCCCAACGTTGAGTGGTTCTGACTCTTCTAACTAGCCAGTCCTAAGCTGTTTGCTCAGCCTGACTTACCTTTTCATGGAAACACCAACCAGAATAGGCCTGAGCTTTCTCCTCATTCCTTTTGCTGCCATCTCACAAAATCTGGAGCTCCTCCTCCTGAAACATTTTGGATACACAGTGACTCTCTCCATAGGATATGCAAGTGCAATAAACTGTTTGTTGAGCTGCTTCTGTGTCTTCTCTAATGGTTCACTGACCATACCTGGATCTGTGTCTGTGTTTGTGTGTGTGTTTATGTGTGTTTATGTGTGTTTGTGTGTGTGTGTGTGTGTGTGTCTGTCTGTCTGTCTGCTTATACCTTGTAATGTGATATTTCCCTATAATTCCCTCTTTATGTTCCTCAGTATTTTTTTCTTGGTCTTTGCCTCCCTCCATGCACATTTTTTTTCTTTGTTCTTTTTTAGATATTCATGACAGTAGAGTGTATTTTGACATATTTTACATACATGGAGTATAACTTATTCTAATTAGTATCCCATTCTTGTAGATGTACATGATGTTGGGATTCACTGTGGTGTATTTATATATGAGCATAGGAAAATTATGTCAGATTCATTCCACTGTCTTTCCTGTGCCCATCCCCCTTCGTTCCCTTCATTCCCCTTTATCTACTCCCCTGAACTTCTATTCCTCCCTTGCCCCTTGTTGAATGTTAGCATCTGCATATCACAGAGAACATTCAGCCTTTGGTTGTTGTTGTTGAGATTAACTTATTTCACTTAGTGAGATAGTCTCCAGATCCATCCATTTGCCAGCAAAAGTCATAAAGTCATTCTTTTTTTTGTGGCTGACTAATATGCCATTGTGTGTATATTCCACATTTTCTTTATCCATCTATTGAAGGGCACCTAGGTGGGTTCCATGGCTTAGCTATTGTGAATTGAGCTGCTGTGAACATTGATGTGGCTGCCTCACTGTATGCTGATTTAAAGTCCTTTGGGTATAAAATGAGGAGTGGAATCACTGAGTCAAATGGTGGTTCCATTCCTAGTTTTTGAGGAATCTCCATACTGCTTTCCCAGAGTGGTTGCAGCAATTTGCAGTCTCACCAGCAATGCATTTCCCCAAATCCTCACCAACATTTGTTGTTTTTTATATTCTTGACAATTGCTATTCTGACTGATGTGAGATAAAATCTCAGTGTAGTTTTTATTTTAAATATTTTATTAGTTGTTGTTGGCCATTTATGTATGTATGTATGTATGTATGTATGTATGTGGTGCTGAGAATCGAACCCAGTGCCTCACACATGCTAGGCAAGTGCTCTACCACTGAGGCACAACCCCAGCCGCCCTTAGTGTAGTTTTAATTTGCATTTCTCTAATTGCTAGACATGTTGAACATTTTTTTTCATACATTTTTTGACCATTCAATTTCTTCTTCTGTGAAGTGTCTGTTCAGTGCCTTTGCCCATTTATTGATTGGGTTATATGTGGGTTTTTTTTTTTTTTGGTAAGTTTTTTGAGTTCTTTATATATCCTGGTGATTAATGCTCTCTCTGAGATACAGGGTGGCAAAAATTTTCTCCCATTTTGTAAGCTCTCTCTTCATGTTCTTGATTGTTTTCTTTGCTGTGAAGAAGCTTTTTTTAGTTAGATACAGTCCCATTTATTGATTCTTGATTCTACTTCTTGGGCTTTAGGAGTCTTTTGACAGCATATTTTATAAATATGGTCACCTGATGGCTTCAGGGATGAGCACCTGACCTAGGCCAGGCCAATGAGAGTCAATCCTGGTGCTGTGTTGGAATTACTGGGTTTGCCAACTGCAAGGATTACAGAACCAGAGCTCTGGCTTCCACATAGAAAAATCTTGCTGAGAATGGAGCCAACAGAGGAAAGTAGAGCCAAGGGATAGTAGAGAGAAACTAGGTGCTAAGGATTTTTTAACCCCTCAATCTAGCTGTTAAACGAGGTTTCAGTAAGGTTTTGTTTTAGACTAGTCTCCTGCATTAGGCCCCAGAGCACCAGACCAAATTATAGAGAAGTTGCTCATGCTAGGTGTCATGTCATCAACTTTGAAACAGGCCAGTTAAGGAAGGAAGGAAGGAAGGAAAGAAAGAAAAAGAAAGAAAGAGAGAGAGACTTATAATAGCCTACCAAAAGGGGCCTAGACTTCCTAAACTGGCATTAGGAAGTCCCCTTTGCTTTACTCCTATACTATAGTATAGGATCTGAAATCTCCACCAAAGGCCCATGTGTTAAAGACTTGGTCCCCAGGTTGGCACTGAAATTGAGAAGTGGTGGAACTTTGGACAGGTGGGCCTTAAAGGGAGACTTTGGGTCATTTGGAAGCATGCTCTAAAAATAGATAGTGGGACATCACCCTTTTCTTTTACTCTCTGGCCATGGAGTGTGTAGGTTGATGAAGGTGACTTAGGAACAAAGCAACAAGCAGAACGCGAAAGAAACATCAATCAGGCATCAACAGAACCGCCTGTCTCGGGCCAACCCTGGATCTTTTTTTTTTTTAAAGAGAGAGAGAGAGGGAGAATTTTAATATTTATTTTTTAGTTTTCGGCGGACACAACATCTTTGAATGTGGTGCTGAGGATCGAACCCGGGCCACACGTATGCCAGGCGAGCGCGCTACCACTTGAGCCACATCCCCAGCCCAATCTTGGATCTTAACCAGCTCCCCCAACCAACTCCAGTGAGAAAAGGGACTCTATAAACCTCTTTCCCTGTCCTAAACCCTCCCTTCCTGCCCTAAGCCCCATAAAATTCCAGTTTGGTGGAGCCCCCACATGGTTTCTCCTCAGACCCTCTTCCTATACATTCTGTCAGTCTGATAGAGTAGAATCTCAATAAAGCCTCGTTCAGCGTCCTTTTTAAATCTGCTTGCCACCATTGCCTGACCTTTCGGAGTGTTTGGTTTTGCTCCTCCATGCACTCCCACCATGATGCACTGCTTTGTCGGAAGCCCAAAGCAATGAAGCCAATCAATCATGGACTGGAACCTTCAAAACTCTGATTCCAAAATAAACCTTTTCTCTTTTTAATTATCTCTGGTATTTTGCTATAGTAATAGGAACTGACTTACATGACTTAAAAGTAAAGTAACTTTGAAATGACCAGTCCCCCCTTTTTATGATGTTTTTGCTCTTAACAGCTCTTTTCTGCCTGAAAAGCCTCATTCCCTGACTCATTGGGACATTGAATTTTTTTTTTTTAAAGAATGAGGTGTTGCTCAAATCTAGAGTCACAGATGCCAATTTGGTCTTGAAATTTGTTGTTATTTTGTCTATTGAGGGTTATTTGCAACCTATGAAGGGATCCAAAGGACGCTGGTGATGAACCCTGTGACAACCTGAAGAAGACAGGTGAGGCATCCTGGAGCCTCTTTTGAGATTTCCCGTTTGCCTCATAGAGCCCTTAGGGTTGTAAATTAAGTTCCTCCTAAGTTCAGACTCTATACTCTTTTGCATTAAACCCACTGATCCTTTTGTTGGTTTTCAAATCCAAGGTTAGTGGGTTACTCAGCTTTTCATTGCTAAGACCGAAATAACTGAAAAGAACGACTTAGAGGAGAAAAAGTTTATTTTAGATCATGGTTTCAGAGGTCTCAGTCCATGGTGAGCTGACGCTGTTGCTCTGGATCTGAGGTGAGGCAGAATTCGATAATAGAAGGAGAGTAGAAGGTGGAAGAAAGTTGTCAGCTTATGGCAGCTAGGAAGCAGAGAGTGGATAGAGTCCCCGAGGCCATGCTCCCAGTGATCTACTTCCTCCAATCCTGCCCCAGCTGCCTACAGTTACACCAACCAGTTGTCCATTCAAATTATTAAACCAGGGCTGGGGATGTGGCTCAAGCAGTAGTGCGCTCGCCTGGCTTGCGTGCGGCCCGGGTTCGATCCTCAGCACCACATACAAACAAAGATGTTGTGTCCGCTGA